TCTGTTTGTTCAAAGTCTCCTTAAGGTGATCCAGACAGGCTGGACCAGAGGAGGAGAGACAGACCTGGACCAGAGGAGGAGAGACAGACCTGGACCAGAGGAGGAGAGACAGATCTGGACCAGAGGAGGAGAGACAGATCTGGAGTCCTAGCAGCAGAGAACTTCAGCACGGATTCCAAGGTACACCTTTTTCATGCTTTACAAAGAATGCATAAAGTAATGACTCCAATACACTGATAGACATGCCATTAAACATGACTGAAAACTAGATCTCCTACACATCAGTGATGTTGAGTGTACTTTCTTAGCAAAAGGTTACATTTACATTTTACCAAGCAACATCACATAGTGAGAGCTGCGACCCTTTGTCTTTCAGTGAGACAACCGGACAGAGCAAGCTTCCACAGTTGCACTAAGTTTTGATAACAGTTAAATATTATTTTAATAATACATTTATTTTAATGTTGATGAATTTAGAACGGTTTATTCATAATCTGATTATCTTTGTAGTACACTGTTGGATTTAAAAAACACATTCAAATAAAAAAATCATTATATTTATAGCCCCTGAACAAACAAACACACCTCTTTCTTAAATAACACACTTGCTCTGCAATAATATGTTTTTTGATATTTCTGTTAGGAAAGGACACGCCTGAGAGACAGGACTGCTTCACCATGTTCTCTTTCTCTGAGGGTCCAGAAGAACATCCAAGAGGGAAAGGAGAAGCTGATGTGATGAGATTTAAGAGCAGTACAGGACATTCACTAAGAGACACTTGTATTGTAACACAAAGACCTGCACACTGACTAGTTTTGTAGTCTAACAGGAACTTCATTTGTGTTGTTTTGTGTTTTACGTTGCACAGAGACAGTGTGATTACTGTCAGGCCTATAAAGTTTGGCAAAAAAAAAGTCAGCTGATCAAATGCATTTGCACTTTGAGCTTCACATCACTTGTGCCGCCGAGTTTGGAACGTCATAAATAAATGGTACCAATCTTCAGTCAGATGTGAATGTGTAATTTAACATTTTCAGTAAGGATAACGGACAAAAGGAGTGCAAATACAATTTATTGAAATGTGAACTAAAAGTTATCAAGCATGAACCATCACCATTTAAAAAAATAAATAAAAACGAAATAATATACATAAGTTACACTAAATGTTAATCTGTTAATTGACAGGCTAGGCCTGTGCAGGTGGTAACAGCTATGCCCAGCATGGGCTAAGTTCTGTAGGTGCAGCTGGTGTAAGTCCTCCTCCATCAGGCCTGCAGGGTCTTTCCCTGCGAGGAGGACTCCTCGCAGGGAAAGACTCTCAGCCCTCTCCGGTCAAAGCAACAGACAGGACGTTCATAAAGCTGAGGTCTCCCCCAAAGTCTCTAATCATCCATCCTGTGAATATGAGAGGGGAACAAATAGTGTAATAGATGCTTTGGACAATAAGAAATATAAAGTTAACTGTTGAGTTGCTCAGTTTTTTAGATTGACAGGGTTCAATAACACAAACAAAAGGAGAGAAATAAAGATTGGTCTTTCAATAAATTGTGTTGATTTTGTCTTTTGAATTCTTTGTCTGAAGTCAAGTAGCTAGAACTGTTACTTGTAGTTTGAATGATACAGTCTGGTTATAATGTGTGGAGGAGGCATCACAGGTAAGAGCACCATTTGTTGTGTTCCATCCACAACACATTGATGTGTGTGTATTTATTTATCTACTATTTCTTGAATCATTACTGTCAGTCCAAAACAAGAGATTTTGTTTTGGTAACATTTAAAAAAAAAAAACATTATCTATTTTCCACTACACTATCTTGAATACTTTAGTTTTTACGTCACTACATTTAACTAACAGCTTTAACATTGTAAAGGTGTCACTTCGGACTCTGGGTAATTATGACAGCATGTCCTACTGCAAACCAGACCTTCATCTATTAATGTAGAAAATAGTCGGCACATTACACCATTATGAAAGTAATAATTAGTTAGCTCATTGTTCAAATGAGCTCCAACTACAACAGTTAAGTCAACTCGTGCATCGGTAATAACAATAAATCAAATGATATAATATAATAGAATAACTTGTGTCTACTTTAAATACTCTAACAACACTTGTTGCTAATTATACTAGCATACTTTTACTAAAGTAACATTAACATGTTTAAATGCAGGGCTTTTGTAAGAGAGTATTTCGTATAGTGTAGCATGGTCTACTTGACTTATCTAACCGAAGTGATCGTTACGTTACTTTGCAAACCGTCACACCCCCCCCCCCCCCCCCCCCCCCCCCCCCCCACACACACACACAAAAGGACACGGTAACGTTGTGATTCACTTCAATTAATGATAACTACGGAGCTTGCTAACAGCAAGGCACAAGGCTACTTCACTCATTTAGCTAATGTAAGATACAAATGCTGTCGAGCCCTCACTGCTTGTAAGATAAAGAGCACAAACTGACTACTTACCCGAGCGGCGAGCCCCGCTGTTCTCCGTCATTTTTCTCCCGGGTTGTTGTGATCACATGACTGACAAAGCCGTGCTCTGATAGGCCAAGTCAGTTTGATTGCATTAGGGCTCGATTGCTTATCCTGTCTGAGTAGCCCGGATGATGCTGCATCGCAATTTTTGACATCGAATTTTATACACCGAATTTTTTGACGTCGAATTTTTGGGATCTGAATTTGAACATTCGAATTTTTTTCACTTGAATTTTTACATTTTTATTTCACATAGGTAAATTCGGAGCAAAAACATTCAGATACATGATTTTCAAAGTAATTATTTTCAATGCTATAAATTCGGTGTCTAATACAATTCGAATACTTCTGTCTCTTGTTTGCTTCCATAGCTGAGTCATCAGTTTCAAATATGTTTCACATATCCCCCACTCTGGGTAAACCAGCTGCCTATGACCTATCGGTTAATAGCCAGCAGGATTCGTTACAAAAGCCTGCGCATTTTAATCTATCGATTAATAAACTGCGGAGCACAGTAACTACACCAGCTGCCTTCAATCTGGTGATTAGTAGGCAGCATGGTTCGCTGCAGGGTTCTGGTGGTTATAACTTTTGGTTATTAAACCACAGACCTCGCGGCATTCCTCTATCCGAGATACGCCACCTACACACGGTGACAATAAGCCCATGAGCGCCGTGGTAACGCCTCATGTGGTTATCACTGTACACACCTCCACCCATCCTCTGAGCGTGTACGCGCATCATGATGAGAGGCGGAGTGAATGCAACGTGTGGAGGCCTCCTCACAGCCTTTTCGCTACGCCCACCTTGGGTTGCCTCACGGGGCCTCCGCCCCCCCACCAGGAGACGGGGGTAAAAAGGGAGTGAGGTACTCCTGTTCGGCGTCTGCTCCATGAGAGCCGCCGAGGAAGCAGAGCGGCCTTGACGGTTGGGGAGGCAGTGTGAGGAAAATAAAAGAAGATTATTTCCCAACATGTTGGCTGAGTCATCAGTTTCAAATGTGTTTCATATATCCCCCACTCTGGCCGGTGAGCCAGCTGCCATGACCTATCGGTTAATAGCCAGCTGGGTTCGGTACAAAAGCCTGCGCTATTTAATCTATCGATTAATAAACTGCGGAGCACAGTAATTACACCAGCTGCCTTCAATCTGGTGATTAGTAGGCAGCAGGGTTTGCTGCAGGGATCTGATGGTTATGACTCTTAGGTTATTAAACCTCGCGGCATTCTTCTGTCCGAGATACGCCACCTATACACGGTCATAATAAGCCCAGGAGCGCAGTGTTAACGCCTCATGTGGATATTACTGCACACACCTCCACCCATCCTCTGAGCGTGTACACGCCTCATGATGCGAGGCGGAGTGATACGCAGCGTGTGGAGGCCTCCGCACAGCCCTTTCGCTCTAGGCCCACCTTTAGGCCGCAAGGTGAACCTCGAAAAGTCCTTTAGAAAAGAAATCCCGCTCCACAGAAGTGAAACTACACAATCTTTAGTTCATAAAAAAGAACGATTCATGCTTATCCACCAAAAAAAATTTCGTCGCTAAAATTCCTGCCAATTCTTCTAGGCACGTAATTATTGGCTGAACTATTCCCTTCGAAGCGTAATAATATCTTGGTCCAAAGTCGTGCCACGGTTCATCACGTGATCGTGCTACACCAATTGGGTAGCTGCATATTGTCAACAGAAGTGAAAGATGGCGGCCGCAATGGTTTCATCGAGTAGCGGAGACGAGGAAAACGCACCAGAAAGTCTCAAAAAGTCAAAATTGTCAACACACAAACATTGTTACATGCATATTACGTCTGTGAAGCACGAAAAGGTTGATTGTTTTACCAATACAAGATGGAATACGTACAGGACAAGCTTACAACGGTCGCTCGGCTTGAAGGGAGACTCTCGGAACGTGGTGGCTGAAAACCACAAGCACTGTCTTGATTTCGAGTTCGAAGATATTCCTGAGGACGCTGGCTTCCACCACACATGCTACATAAGGTTTACCGACACAAAGGCCATGACGAAGGTGGAAAGACGGCTCGCACGTGAGGGAGATCAAGACGTTAGGGAGGACCTTGAGGTCGAGCCCATCCCATCGACGTCTCGCAGCACGTACCGAAGCCAAACAGAGAAGCTACGATCAAGGTCAGGCCTGCCAATCGCAGGCTCTGGCCCCGTCCTTCCTGCCCTGTGCATTATATGCAAGATGAAGGAGAAAATGATCATCAAAGCAGGCAAGCGACAAAGGGATCAACTGTGTAAGGCTGAAACATTAAAAGCAGGTAAGCAAACCCCCTCCCCCACCCACACACCACACACACACTACACACACACACACACACACACACACACACACACACACACACACACACACACACACACACACATTCTCTGTGGTTGAATAACTGAAAGGTACAATTATGTGTGAGAGATACGTCAACAAACTCATTGAGTTGTCCTTTTTTTCCGTTTAGGCAAATTGCAGAAAGCTGCTGAGAAGAAAGATGACCAAAGTGTTCTTTTACATATAAAAGACAAAGACTGTGTGGCTCTGGAGGTGCGGTACCACAAAAGCTGTTACAGTCAGTACACCATGTTTTTGCTGAGACCTGACAAACCAGAGACAGAACAGTAAGTTATTTCTCCTTGGATTGCTTTACCTATTTGCACTACCACCAGACTGAAGTCCAGGTGTGTGTCGGCGATGGCTATATATATATATACACATACACATACTTAACATTATAAGTAAACATCCAATTTCCTTCTGTTATATGTGCACACAATCACAACACTTATTCATTTATCCATTTATTTACTTCTCATTCATGTGTTGTAGGGATGAGGCAATGTTTGATGCCAGTTACAAGCTGTTCTGTGAGAGGATCATCCGCCAGAGGCTGCTTGTCAACAATGAGGTGCTTAGAATGGGCCAGCTGAGGCAGGCCTTCATTGACATGGTGAAAGCAAACGAAGGTGTTGATGCTTCAAACTACAGGTAACTGCAATGTAATACAAGTCTTATTATTTATCATGTGCAAGGCCAGCTTTAAACAAAATGTGTATGACAGGCCTGTTTGGAGAAACCCCCATGATGTGTAGTGTGTAGTGTTGTTTGTGATGATGTGGGCCTTTATTTGGCTTCTTTGGTGTTAAATGTGCTGTATGGCAGATAGGTTCTAGTCTGTAATGTCTTGTATCACCTCCACCACTCTGCTTTTGATGGTACTCCTGTGACTCGTAATTGTCACTGTTTTGTTGTGTTACAGACAGGATCTGTTGAAGAAGAGGCTGGCTCAAGATTTCCCTCAGCTAGCGTTTCACATGCCCACCAAGCGCAACGTCTGCGAACTGGTTTTTGCTGAGACTCTGTCAAAGGATGCACTCGTGGACATGCTACCAGATCCATCCGGTACGGAAACAACACAGTCCAGTGAATTGAGCCAGACAGACAGCGACAATGAAACAGGGAGAACAAAGTGCCAAACAACACATGAGGACACAAGGACACTGTATACAGCAGCGTTGTTTTTGAAAAGACTGCTTAGTGACACTCCTGGCATGTCATGCCCATGGCCTCCCACTTCTGAAAATGTAAATGTCACTGAATCTCAAACTGTTGTCCCCATTGGACTATACAATCTGCTCAGCTGGATTATAGGTTCCACTGAGGAGCCAACACTGGATCATTATGTCAACATTGATGATGACGTACATTTGAAAGTGTTGTCTGTTTGTCAAGACATTGTGTACCTTGCTTCCAAGGGCCGCAAGCAGACACCCAAGTCCTTGGCTTTAGGTTTACCTGTTCGACATTTAACTGGATCATCACGCATTGTATCACTGCTTAACAGACTGGGACATTGTGCATCATGGGACACAGTTTTGAGTCTAGACACTAGCCTTGCCCAACTGACACTAGTAGAAGTGTCACATCACTCATAGATACGTTTGTTTTTGGTACTAGAACAGAGTATAATCAGCAGGACTCTTTTAACCAGCTGAGGCAATCACAGCACCAATCAGCCGCTCCGCCCAGCCTGACACCAATCAATTATACTACATTACATGTCCTTCTACTGTTTTCTATGTCATACCTTTTATATTTGTAATAAATCTCGTTTTTATGGTTCATCAGTGTTGTTTTCATTTGTGGAGGGATGAATGAGTAAATAAATGAATCAATGGACATTGGTATAAGTAAGGCAAGGCAAGTTTATTTATATAGCACTTTTCAACACAAGGCAATTCAAAGTGTTTTACAAAAAATTAAAGACATTAAGAAAATGGCATTTAAAATCAGTCATTCAAAAGAAAAGCTAATAAAAGAAACATTAAAAGAAAAAATACATGGATAAAAGTTACAGTGCAGTCTAAGATATGAATAGTTCAATTAAAAGCAGCAACAAAAAGAAAAGTCTTCAGCCTGGAAGTACTGCATTTTATTGATCTAAATTACTTAACGTAACAAGTTAACCTTCTTCTTGGACGCAGAAATCAAGTCATGTTTATTTTAAGAGTGCATTTAACGTGTACAGGGTAACAACAGACAGACAAAAAGTCCTCAGTCTAATGGAATAATCCCAATGAACCTAGCGATGTGAACATGGCAGTCCAGGAATGATAGTTTGATAAATATGAGTTTGATATACTTTATTAATCCCCGTGGGGAAATTGTTTGTAGCTGGAGTTGGCTGATAAACGCTGCTAGTCAATGTTGATTCGATGGTCAACTCTGTTCCCAGATAGTAAAACCTCTCACAAATACCGCGTATATAACGCAAATACCTCGGACTTAGTGATGTATTAAGACATATGACAAAACATGACATAAAACAAGCATACAGCACTGTTTAGAATCCATTTGGTCTGGTTTAGCGTAACCATGGCGGCCGCCATCTTTCACTTCTGTTGACAATATGCAGCTACCCAATTGGTGTAGCACGATCACGTGACGAACCGTGGCACGACTTTGGACCAAGATATTATTACGCTTCGAAGGGACTAGTTCAGCCAATAATTACGTGCCTAGAAGAATTGGCAGGAATTTTAGCGACGATATTTTTTTTGGTGGATAAGCATGACTCGTTCTTTTTTATGAACTAAAGATTGTGTAGTTTCACTTCTGTGGAGCGGGTTGAAACGATAACAGGGTTCACCTTATGGCCTACTTGGGTTGCCTCACGGGCAGCGGCGGCGAGGGCTCTGGCGTGGCTCGTCGTCATGACAACCACAACACATCTCGAGCATGCGCGCCCGCTGTCAGAGTGTTTCTCGGCGTGGCAGCGCATGTGTTTGATGGACGGATGGATGCACAGGCTGATCAGCAGAGGGTACACCCTGCAGTTCGCCTCCCCCCCACAGTTCAACGGGATACAGGTGACATGCCTAACATCCCGTGAACAGTGTCTTGCGCTCCAAGCAGAGCTACGGGAACTCCTGTTGAAAGAGGCTATTTCCAGGGTTCCCCAGGAGGAAGAAAATCAGGGGTATTACTCCCGCTATTTTCTTATCCCGAAAAAGACAGGGGGAATGAGACCCATCCTCGACCTGTCAGTTTTCAACAAGGCAATAATGAAAAGGCCTTTTCACATGCTGACGGTCAAAAAGGTGCTAGAGTGTGTTCACCAGGGAGATTGGTTCACCTCTATAGACCTAAGGATGCATACTTCCATGTACCCATCATTCCGCAACACAGGAAATTCCTGCGGTTTTCATTCCAGGGAATAGCGAACCAGTACAACCGTCTGCCGTTCGGCTATTCCCTGACTCCTCGTACTTTTTCAAAGTGTGTAGAAACGGCGTTGCAGCCGCTACACAGAGGAGGGGTGAGAGTACTATTTTTACCTGGACGACCTGCTGCTGCATGGCTCGCTCCAGGGAGGAAGCGGCTTTACAGACGGTACAACTCATATCGTATCTGTCAAAGCTGGGTTTCATGATAAATTGGGGAAAGAGCTGTCCCATTCCAGCCCAGAGTATTGTTTACCTGGGTGGAATTGAACTCAGCCCGCATGAGAGCACGACTCGGCAGAGAGTTGATTGATTGATTGAAAAGTGTATTAACAGCTTGTATATTGGGTACAGTACAGTACAGCTCAAAACATACAATTGTTAAGGGGATGCAGACCAGAGAAAGACTTTCGTCTTGTTTACATCAGGGTCCCCCATTTCCAATTCATCATGCTCCCAGAGTGGAGTGGACACGCTGACAGCTCTCCTTCGACGTGTCACACCCCGCAGCGTGGTGACGAAAAAGCCCCTCACAGTTCAATGGGATACAGGAAACACTCCTGTCCTCCCAGAAGCTATGTCTTGCGCTCCAAATCCGAGCTGCTGGAACTCCTGTTGAAAGAGGATATTTCCAGGGTTCCTCAAAGGGAGGAAAATCAGGGGTTTTCACTCCCGTTATTTTTCTAATCCCGAAAAAGACTGGGGCACATCCTCGATCTGTCAGTATTTCACATGCTGACGATCAAACAGGGGCTGGAATGTGTTCACCAGGACGACTGGTTCACTTCCACCTGAAGGATGCATACTTCCACGTACCCATCATCCCGAAAAACAGGAAATTCCTGCGGTTTCTCATTTCAGGGAATATCAGACCAGACAATCGTCTGCCGTTTGGATATTTCCTGGCTCCTCCCATTTTTGTGTAGAGAAGGCTGGAGCCGCTACACAGAGGAGGGATGAGAGGGTGGTTTCCTTTGGACGACCTGCTAGTTGCTGGCTCGCTCCAGGGAGGAAGTCGCTTTACAGACGGTACATCTCGTATCGGTATCGCATCTGTCAAAGCCTGGGTTTCATAACAAGTTGGAAGAAGAGCTGTTCCCTTCCCTCTCAGACAAACGTTATCTGGAGTGGAATTAAAAACTCAGCCAGCAGCAGAGCGCTCTCTGGCAGCAAGTGAGAAACTGACAGCTCTCCTCCGGCGTGTCACAAACCACACAGCCCTCTCCGTAACGCAGCTGCTCGGCATTAGCGTCAGCTGGTCACGGGGGGGGATTCCCCTGGGTCTCCCCCACAGGGGGAGTCTCCAGAGGTGCTTCATTCACTGCAGAAGCCTGCTGTTTTAACCTATTGGTTTATAAACTGCAGAGCTCGAGGCATTCCTCTGATATGCCTTACACACGGTCATAATAAATCCACGAGCACTGTTATAACGCCTCGTGAGGACAGCATACACACACCTCTCATCCTCGGGGCGTGTACGCGCCTCATGATGAGAGACAGAGTGGAATGCAGCGTGTGGAAACTCTCTCGCAGCTTTTTTGCTTCACGGGCAGCAGCGGCGAGGGCGTGGCACGTCACCATGACGACCATTACGGCACATCACAGAGAAGCCTCTCCCCCCAGCAGTTCCATGGGATGCAAGAAACACTCCCGTTATCCCAGGAACAGTGTTATTTCCGGCGAATTTAACCGAGGGGCTCGCAGAACGCAGCCGCGTGCTATTCGAGGAGTATGGAGACTCAGACCGGTGTCACGCACACGCACCTCCGTGGGATTTGGCTTTGGTGTTACGCGCACTAAAGAAAAACCCCATTTGAACCTGATCAGGTTCCCCTTAACTGTATTCAGCCAAAGTAGTACTGCTTTTGGCTCTATCAGAGGAAAGGGTGATCTGTCTGCTCTCCCGGTGGCTCCGTCATGTCTCCAGATCCATGGAGATGCAGTTCAGCTGTTTTACGCCCTAACCCGGCTTCATGCCTATAAGGTCATCACAACTCTTTTAGGTCAAGAGTGATCACCCTGGCTGGCTTCTTCCCCCCTCCTTACAGGTCGGAGGAAGAAGAAACATCTCATCTCCTCTGCCGGTGCGCACGCTGTCTGCTATGTGGCGCGCACGGCGGCATTGCGCCGTTCTCAGCGCCTGTTTGTGCATTACAGAGAGCGCTCGATCGGGCAACCTCTGTCTACACAACGGCTGTCACACTGGCTGTGTGAGGCTGTGTCACAGGCATATGTCTCCGCTGGGGTGGAGCCCCCGGAGAATATCAAAGCGCACTCAACCAGAGGAATTTCCTCCTCCTCCGTGTTGCGCGGAGGAATGTCAGTGGAAGATATTTGCACGGCTGCATCTTGGTCTTCCCCCTGTTCATTTATTCAATTTTATTTGAGGGATGTCTCCCTTTCCTCTCTGACACGCCCTGTACTGGGTGTCCTGTCAGAGTGAGTGACGTCAGGGATCCAGCTGTGCGCCTCTCTCCTGCCTCGCGGCACACAGAGAGCGGCCCTTTTTCCCCTCGTAGGAGAGGGACGTTCCCCTTCCTCTGACACACTTCGTAGGGAGTGCCTGGTCAGAGTGAGTGACGTCAGGGATCCAGCTGAGAGCTCTCCTACCTGGCTGACACGGAGAGAGCGGCTGTTCCCCCTCTATGATCGCAGGACAAGGTGGGACCTTCGTCTCTACTTTCTCACAGCGATCGGTATGTATTGTTCCCAGCCTTCACCCCGTCAGGAAAACAGGTATGTTTGCTCCAGGGACGGGGATGTGCCATTACGCATGGCACAACAGGCAGGGGGGTGTTATTAAGCAGGTATGTCTGTGCTTCTAGTGCTGGACGGACCCAGTGGGGCGCAGACTACATCATGCTTCGCCCTTAACCCAATAGCGATAGCCTTAGAGGGCGAAGCCATATACGAAATAGAACTGAGGTTACCTACTGTAACCCAGCTTCTATGAGTATTGGCGCAGCCCTCTAAGCGCTGGGCCCCACTGGCTCTACGAATAGCTGAAGAAAAGTTATATTCTTTCACACACAGTGACGTCACAGCTACCCACAATGCAACGCGCGCCATATATTTTTTTTTATAAAGACGCCATTTTTCTGGAGGTGCAAAAATCCTGGCAATGCTAATAAAAACAGCTAGCTTATGTAGCCAGGCAGAGCGCACTATGTTTTTTTTCTGAATTAACGACCGAAGAAATCGCTGCATGTCTTCGGATTACATCTCTGGACTTGAGGGGTGTGCTCTAGGTCGTTACCAGCGTAAACTAGAGCTGTGTGGGTTGTTGGATGTACAATGTATGGAATTACGACCCTCAAAAGTGGCCTTCGGTCGATTTTGGCTGCATCTACGTCTATCTTCTGGAAACACCAGGTGAATACCCCACTTGTCACAATAATATTATCATGCCAATGCATATATGTGGTATTTTAGAATTGACTATATTGATTAAGGCAATCGACTATGATATTCTGTATGCACCTCGTGTGAAATGGTTGATACCGGAAGTACGGTGTCGCCCTCGGCCCAAAACCCGTGTGTGTGAAAGAATTGTATGGGAACAGATCGCCGGGCAACCTCCCTATTTATACCGGAAGGAGGCCCGAGGGTGGGGCCCACCTAGCGGGTGGGCGTGGACTACAAGTGTTTTCAGTACTGCGCGGGGGCGCAGAAGGGTAAACCCAATAGCGATAGCCTTAGAGGGCTGCGCCAATACTCATAGAAGCTGGGTTACAGTAGGTAACCTCAGTTATATATGCTCCGACCGTCCACACTCACAACAACGGCCTATACAGACATAAATAAACCAGCGACTGTATTCTCCATGACACAGACAGTCTGTGGTTTGTACTTGTTTAACTTTTGTCTAGTTTCTGAACAGATCGTATCTGTCCCCGGCTGTTTGAAGAGCAAGCATAGATACAGTCGGCAAGCGAGGGAACGCCCACAAAACGTCACATCCGGTTCGCGCTGAGGGGGAAAACAAACCGGCTTCCACAATGCCCAGGAGCTGCTGTGTGCCCTTTTGTACAACTAACAAGCTTAAAAATCCAAATCTAAAATGTTATATTTTGCCCAACGGGAGCACAGAGCCCAGGAGAAGAACCCGGTGGCTTCAAGCGATCCGTCGGGAGGATGAGTTTGGCCACCTGTGGGATCCAAAATCCAAACATGTGTACGTCTGTAGTCAGCACTTCATTACAGGTATGACAACGTTATTCACACAATAACAGTGTTAAATTGTTTCGTAGTTAACATGAATGTTCAATTACTAGTTTTAAGAGAAGTTAACTAACTACTACGTTATGCAGGCTACCTTGCTTGAGTATACAAAAACACAGCTATGCTAACAACACTGGTGGTAGCTTCCGAGCTTTCTGCAGTTAAAATGTATTTCACCCCCTTCTATCCCCTTCTCATTTCGTTTGTGAACTGTCTTGCCCTAGGCTTAAAAAACGAGGACTACACACCCTCGCTGTTCCCACATAAAAAGACAAAGTCTCCCAGGTCAGTACTTCAGAGGCTGGAGAGAAGGAGGAAGCGTGAGGGTGTTCAGTCTGCCCAACATCAGAGGGCCCAGCACCAGAATCCCCAACATCAGAAGCTCCCATACCTCTTCAGGAGTTAGAGAGAAAACAACTTTATGAAGAATTGTATAATTTAAGAAGAGAAAGAGATGAGGCCATGAAGGAGCGAGCTGAAGCCATCAGAGAATTGGAGACGTTGAAAATGTCGGTAAACACTGTGAGAGAAAATGACACTAAATGTAAAGTCATGACAGGCCTGTCATGGACAGTATTTGACACTCTTCATCAGTACCTGGTACAGTTTGTTAAGTCACAGAAAACATCCAAGATGTCAACACAAGACCAACTCTTTATTACTCTGGTGAAACTGCGGCAGAACCCCTCAACCGATATGATGTGTGGAATATTTGACCTGGCACATAGCACTTTCCTGGATGTATTCTCCCGATGGTTGGATTTGATGTACGCCAACATTTCTTTTTTGATTAAATGGCCTGATAGAGAGTGTATCAGAAGCACAGTACCAGCAGAGGTTCTCTTCCAGTACCCTAGAGTGACTGCAATTATCGACTGCTTTGAGTTCAGAATTGAACACTCAAAGAAGCTGAAAACAAGGTGAGATATTTTTCTTTTTGATAGCATGCATAAAGTGTCGGGTTTTTGTAATACTTACCTGGCTGTCTGTGTATATGTACACAATTTATAGATAAGTATTACTAACGACTGTCTCTTCTCACAGAGCTATCACCTACTCAAAATACACAAACTGGACAATAGTGAAGTATTTCATTGCATGTCACCCATCTGGCTCAATCACATATCTCTCCAAAGGCTGGGGAGGGAGGGCTTCAGATGTGCATATTGTAAGGAACTCAGACTTCTTATCTCAGAAGTTCCACCATGCAGGAGATCAGGTAACAATTGAACTGTTTTTTTTCTTCTAATTTAAGTCTTATTTGTGAATTTATTATTTACCCATAGTTACAATTTTTGAGTTGCTGTTGAAGTAAAGTAGTGTTTTTAAGTATTTGTTATGTTTATTTCAGATTTTAGCCGACAGGGGCTTCACTTTGAAGGATGACTTTGCTGTTCTGGGTGCACAGCTCATCACACCGTCTTTCACGAGGGGCCGAAAACAACTGTCAGCCGAAGATGTTGCAAATTCTCGTGTGACTTCGAACATCAGAATTCACATTGGTAAGTATAGAGTCAGCAGTCAGATTCATACAGTATGTACATTTTAATGTTTTTGGTATTCAGAGTGTGCTGCATCATCAAATCACTGTTGCTACTTGCCGCTGACGTGGTTCACATTTACCTAACTAAATTAATTACTGTAACAATACAGATCCGGGTTAACAAGTGCTGAGACGTTATTCAATTAATCACATCAACGAGTACATGTGTAATCCCTACTTTGTAGGGTGTCTTAAGATAACATTTTATCTTAAAAACATGTTATTCTATATTTAAATACAATGAACTGTTGTTCACATTTAGTGCAATATCAAGAGAACAGGATAACAGGAAGTTAACAGGGATCTTTCTTCACTTTAACATGAAAAATAAACACTAATTATAGGACACAATGCACTGACGATATGATATAACGGTCAACTGTGCTACTCCTGTGAAACTCGAACATAACAATGTAGATAAACAGCATTTTAACCACAAATATGTGATCTGTGGTCTGCAGAGAGAGTCATTGGTGCCCTGAAGAGCCGGTACCACATTCTGGATGGCCCACTTCCTCTGCGCCTGGTGAAGAGACTGCAGGATGAAAGACAGAAGAGAGAAGAGGCCATGATTTATAGGATTGTGCATGTCTGTGCAGCACTAATGAACTTGTCTGGCAGTGTCATGTACAACCGTTACAGAATCTGAGAGTAAGAACAAAATCAATGTGCAGTAATTTAATAATGAGCATCAGAGAACAATATTTTATGCAACTTTTTTATACAACAAAGAAGTCATTATTGTTCCAATTGTGCCATTTAACAGGTTTCAGTTGAGACATAATGGATCTTTCTAATCAAAACCACCTGTTGTTTGTCTTTCCACAGGTCCCTGAACTTATCTCAGTGCTGCTCTGCTGCTGCACACCCTGTCGCCCTGCCTCTGTTGCCTGACGCCCTGCCTCTGATGCCTGTCGCCCTGCCTCTGTTGCCTGACGCCCTGCCTCTGATGCCTGTCGCCCTGCCTCTGTTGCCTGACGCCCTGCCTCTGTTGCCTGACGCCCTGCCTCTGTTGCCTGACGCCCTGCCTCTGTTGCCTGACGCCCTGCCTCTGATGCCTGATGTTCTGCTGCCACTTGTGTTGCCTGATGGGTCACTCCCTGTGCTGCTTTCGACTGGACTGTGTTCTGCCTACTTAGCAGAAACATATACAGTGCTTATCATAAATGAGTACACCCACTTTGAAAATAAGACAAGAACAATTTGATCAACATCACAATATCAACAATTATTATCTGATTAGTATCAAAGTCACAAGTATAGACAATATTGTACAGCTCATTATTCATTCTATTTGTAGCCTATGTATGTTTTCATGTTGTAAATAAATGTATAGGCTTTGTGATATTTGATTTTGTACATATAGTCTAGTAGTCTATGTTGATACTGAATGAAATAGCTATAATCAGGCATGAAAATCACTCACCTTTCGGCGAAATTCGCCGTTTTGAATCCAAAATAGGTCGTTTGTGTGATTCATGTAGATCTGCAATAAAAATATTTTTGGGGTATGGGGGGGTCTGGGACCCGGAGTAATCTGCGGCCGCGAGCTGTTATGTGCCATCATGACACGCATGGTGTTCTTTTTTTATATATTATAATGCAGCGCGAGCTGTGTGCTCGAGTCTTCCTGCCTGTCGGCTCTGCTGCTCCGCGATGATGGTCTAGCTTCAGCAGCCACATTACCTACGGGTGCGTTCGTTAATATTAACTGTGCGGTCCGGAGTCACTGTGGTACAGACTGGACCGCTGGCGAACAGCTGTTAGAACGGGCCGTTCAGGTGTTCAGAGCAGAGCTCCCTGTCGGAGCGCAGAGCGTGATGTGCACTGAAAAGTTTTTCTGTCGCAATATTATCGTTGAGCTAGCTAGCTAGCATACATTGTCACTATCTGCTAACGTTAGCTTTAGCCTTCGTTTTCTAATAGTTTTTCATAGGCTATAAACGGAGGTGGTATAAGTATAGATCTTGTACTTGAGTAAAAGTAGAAGCACTCAGATCTTGTACTAGAGTAAAAGTAGAAGTACTCAGATCTTGTACTTGATTAAAAGCAGAAATACTCAGATCTTGTACTTGAGTAAAAGTAGAAGTACTCAGATCTTGTACTTGATTAAAATAGAAGTACTCAGATCTTGTACTTGATTAAAAGTAGAAGTACTCAGATCTTGTACTTGATTAAAAGCAGAAATACTCAGATCTTGTACTTGAGTAAAAGTAGAAGTACTCAGGTCTTGTACTTGAGTAAAAGTAGAAGTACCAGAGTGTAGGAATACTCTGTTAGTAAAAGTACTGCATTCAAAATGTTCCTCAAGTAAAAGTAGAAAAGTATTCTCATCAAAATATAGTGAAAGTAGCGACAGTAAAAGTAGTCGTTGTGCAGATTGGTCCATTTCAGAATAATATATATGATATGTTTTATAATGATTGATCATGAAAGTGTTCTCAAAGCTGGTAAAGGTGCAGCTAGTTTGAATGACTTTGTATACTGCAGGGTAGCTTGTGGATTTACTCCAGGTGGAACTAAAGTCTGATTCAACACTTGATTAGATTTCACATAATTCATCCAGATCTGTGAAGTAACTAAAGGTATTAATACATGTAGTGGAGTCAACGTACACCATTTACCTCTGAACTGTAGAGGAGAAGAAGAACAAAGTAGCAAAACATTGAAATACTTAAATAAAGTACAAGTATCTCAAAATTGTACCCAAGTATAGTACTTGAGTTTATGAATTTAGTTACTTTACACCAGATGCCATAAAGATAGAAAGACTAAGCCTTGCACAGAGGCATGACAATAGATTTTCAAAATGCTCAACAGTGCTGCCAAAATTATAAACTGACTGCTACACAATTAAAATAAATGCTTTTATATATTTCTATTAGATGTGACTCTTTAGCGTTTCTGTTATTATTACCTGCTGCTTTAGTTGTTTTGACTGCTAAAATCCTCTGTTATTCCTCATTTTAAAGCCGATATTCCGTGGGGTCGGGGGGCTCGGGTCCTTGTCACCTTTTCCATACCTGATGAGTTTGCATCCCTGTATAATATGCTTCAAAATGAATTGGTATAAATAAATATGTAACTCTGTCACAGGGACTTATTTGTTGCCATTTTTACACTGATAGGAAATTCAACCACCTACCTGTGCATCTTTCAGCTCCCGAAGTTTGTGTAGTATGTGTTGTGACCAAAATGTTTGCATCACATTAATGGCACCACTGATGAAGTCCTCATCTCTTTGTACTCTGAATATCAGGCAGGTCTGAGGAGTCCAAGTGATGAAGTCTGCATACATCCGTTTGGTAACAAACATCTGCATTTGGACCTGTCAAATGCAATGCAATCATCATAACACTAATATTTACATTATAGACAGTATGCCATCTGTGGATAATTATCTTGGATAATTGCACAAAATGCTGCAGACTTATTAGAGGTGTGCAGGTATATGCAGGTGAAATATTGAAATACCTGAGTGAAATATGCATGACTTCTCTTTAAGCTTGTCAGACTTTCCAGATGTCCTCTTTTGTCCTCAAGACACTGTTGGTACCCAGTAGAGGTGTCTTGCCCCCACCTGTAAGGACACTTAGCCTCTATAACACCCTCACCACAGCAGTCACAGGAAACATAGCCATCACATGAAACCCCCAGGTATGGCATAGTTTGGCAGATGCGGAAGCCAGCCTTTCTGACGACCAGGTTCTGATGTGGTGCTTCTACTGGGGCACAGATGTAAATGGTGGAAGACAGGTTGGCTGTGGGGCTCCCAGCTCCAAGAGCATATTGATAAGTGTCAATGGCATCTTGCTCATGGTGTCTCCCCCACTGAATCCAGGGCTTCATTATTGGCCTGTGCCTTTGTTCACATATGGTGTTGATCAGTGACTTGCTAGGATGTTCTGTAGCTGTTAAAACACGGTGGGCTATGGAGCCTGTAATGCGACCAACCCGCTCTTGATGCCATTGCACACAGGATGCCTGACGGATGGTTGCTCTCTCCACATTTTCGATCTCCTCCTCAGTCACCTCATGCTGGCTGAAACACCATGGCTTCTTAAAAGGCCTGGAAAAACCCATGAAACTATTTAATACCACAGAGTCAGGTGATCTGTCAGCCAGCATAGTGAGGAACTGCTGCTGCTGTGATAAAGAGGCTTTTGGGGTAGGGGCTTTCCTTTTCCTTTTTTTTGACGTCTTGTCCTCTGTGTAAAAAGTTGTCTCTGCAACAAGAGCAGGCTCAATCTTTTTAACACACGTCTTGTTCCACTCACAGGCTTTGCTTGTGCATGGCACTTTGTTGATCCCCATGCGGACACAAGTCTCTAATTTAAAAAGAACAGCAGCCACATGGGAACAACCAAGACTGAAAAGGAAGGAAAAAAATATCCATTAGCTCTAGATCACTAAAGATATTGGGCCTAAGATTTTACATAATACTGCCCTGTCTGGTGACATTTCTTTTGGAACACTTTGATATATTTGGACGTATTTATGGCACCCACGCACAAACAAATGAACGCTTTCACAAACGTACCCTGCCATGCAGTTGCAGTGGGCAGCGACGATGGTACCCTCTCCCTTAACTGCTACCCACGTCTGGTGCGGCTTCTCTGTCACCCTCCAGGATGGCTTTACATCACATCGGAACAGGTAGGTATCCGATGAAGGTAGTTTATGATGGAGCACAACTCCAACAAAGCCACTTGTAAAAAAGTTGTGTGCCTCCAGGGACCGATAGTACTTTAGGCTGCTGTGTGTGTAAATCCCTGCGTGATAACGTACCGAGTCGTCAATAACCAGTGTTGGGACAATTTTTGGCAGTAACTAGTACTCTAACGCAGTGGTTCCCAAACGTTTTGTGCCCAAGGCACACCAAAGGACAAGTAAAAATCTCAAGGCCCACCTATTGTGCAAAATAGCCATTATAACACGTGTTATCACTCATATCATGTAAAATATCTGTAAATGTGCATAATTATTTACCAATGCCAAATAAAATGTGACAAAGACAACTATATTACTCGTGAAATATTTATTAACGAAATATTTCAGAAATTAATTTGAAACTTTATCAAATTAGGCTTCATCAAAGCAGCAACACACTCATTTAAACCAGACAGGTCACAACATTACTGAGGAAACTCAGCAGAAATTCAGCACAGAGAACTGTCAATGCAAGGAAGCTGCATTGTCCATGGTCCTGAACTACAAATTATAAATGTATTACTTTAAAAAAAGTAATATATTACACTACTTCGTTACTATCTACATAAAGTAACTCGTTACTTTACTCGACGAGCACGTACGAACTGCACATGCGTGAGTGGCAATAACTTTCCTTACCAGCAGGCGGCGGTAGTGTGTATTTGTCATTCAAAACAGGCAACAACCGGAAGACAGAGAAGAAGAACAGACGACGTAATATAAACCATAGATATATATAAACACTAGATGACTCACCCGCGCTGCTGGCCAATGGAGACCAACGTTGCCACTTGGCTACAGGCAGTTCTCTCATTCTTAACATTATGGTTTACTATTTAAATAACCATAGCTTGCTCAATTTTCAACCAATTTTCAAACGGTTTGGTTTTTTATAAACATCAAAGATGTAGTTATGATACTGCATACTTATAATCATGGACTTTCATATGAAAATAACATTAATCAGATAAAGCAATAGCTATACACACACACACACACACACACACACAAGGTATTTATATTAAATATTTGCCGGCGTATATATTTCCATTAATTTTATTATATTGTTAATATTTAAAATAAATTATAAAATTAAAATACATTTATATTTTATATATAAAAATCGGTCTCATGTTACCACTCTGTAAGCCAAGAGTTGTTAATTTAGCAATGCCTTAGCTTTAAGAACAGGGACACAACTAATGACAATAGCATATGTTGGTATATTATTTAGATATTCACACCTTTATCAGAAGAACCAAACCAACATAAAATGTGCTCACAGACAGGCCAGTTCTGTCTAATTTATCACAATTATTTTTGACATGAGATCTTCATATTACTATACTAGTTTTGTATTTAGTTTCTAGATTTGTAAACAAATCCAGAACCTTTGAAATATGTTATTGAAAAAAGACCAAGAATAATATAAACTGTACCATGTGTCCTTTTGTGTCCTTCTGTAGTCCATTTGTGGTTTGTCTTGTCTCACCCCGGCTGATATATCACAAAATTCACTGTTTAAATTGTCCCTATGCCCCTGTAAGGTGTCCTTGGGTCCTTGGGAAAGGCGGCCCCCCAAAATAAATGTATTATTATTAAGAAGAACAACTTGGTGTGGTGTGGAGGGGATGTAGGAAGCAGGAGCAGGTGGGGAGAGATGGGGCTTCAAGGTTCAAGGTTATTTGTTTTAAATGTGTCTTGGAGATAAGGACCAGCTGCACACAATAAAATACAGTATAACACAAAACCAATAAGACACACGGTGACACATGGCACACCAACAATCAATCATCGTCCAGCCTCAGCTTTGGTATTCTTTCACAACCATGTTATGGGTTTATTAGACTGAGCAAACATAAACATATGTGGGGAACATAGTGCTGCGTCTCATGGAACGTGAAGATTTAATAAATACATAGTAGGTGGCGATATATGCTCCTAGTGGTAGCGATTCGCCATTAGTCTGCCCTGTCCGGTCAAATTCCTCACTCCTGAAGTGCTCACTGCAGAGCAGTGTCCTGTCACAGGAAACAAAACCGTCTCTTCTTAGGGCGAGTTCCCACTGCCTTAAACCTTAAAAACATGAGAAAGGTAGCCAGATATATAAATTATTGTCAACATTTTCCTCCCTTCTTTCCTTTAACATTAAGGGTAAGGACAAAAATACACACCGAAATGATCATATTTTTGGTATGTATGCATGTATGTATAGCCTACTTTAAGAATAAGACAACCACACTAAGAGTAATAAAAAGGTGTCCAAAAGAAACATTAAATAATTGTGTAAAGAAATGGTAGCAACATATTCTAAAGAGGCTGGGTCAACAACAATCTTGCAATACTATTATCTCACATAGCCCCACTGATCCTGTGTAGCAGGACTTGTAATGTACATACATCCACTAAGTAATTAACGATTATCCTAATTTTAGTCATAATATTGTCATATCTTACAGGTGAAAGGTGATCCCACGGGTTCTTGTTTGCAGACTGCGGTGATTAGAGCAGCCGTAGGCTGCACAAAAGTCCGGCATAGTCAGGTACTTCTGTAAACACAAAGCCAGCAAATTCCTGTATCATAATGCAATATGTTTTTAACAAGCCAAACCACTTGGAAGAAATCATGTGTAACTTAAGTTATGTTGAAAAGAAAGAGCAGTTCTGCCTCTCCCACTGGTGTAAAGTTGCTGGGTCAACTTTATAATATAGGTCTCACTCACAGCCTCTTGTTATTAGCCAGCTAATAAATACAACCACATATACAAAGAAAAGCTGCAATTTCAACATGTCCAAGCATCCTGTATCATAGCCATGCTAATAATGTTTATAATAAACCAAACCGTTTGTAAATCAGTCAAGATTTCAGCGAGTTAAGAGTATTTTTGTGCAGAGCACTCACCTTACAACAGCTACCATAGCGCAAATCAGAGTAACTGTTGACTGTAGCAAGATGGCGGCCTGTCAGCTACGCTGGAAAATCTCCCATGAGCCATCTAGTGTTTATATATATTTATGATATAAACAAACAACAAATAGCGTGTGCGGTAGCTTCACCTTAGCATGTGTTCTTTGCAGGTGCTTGTTGAGGTTTGACGTGGTGTTTGCAGCAGTGGATAACAGCTTCTGGCCTGGACACAGTTTGCACCTCACCGTCACATTCCTGTCTATTCTTCGGACGAACTCAAAGTAATGGGCATACCTCCACCCAGGGGCGTCGCCTGGACCTGGAAACATTCGGGGCTTAGCCCACAGTGGCGGCGCTACAGTCACATTTTCTACTGCAAGACTCCCCACACGCACATACACAATTGCGCCATCTGGTGTCACAAACAAAAAGCTTTGTTACGGCAATGGATTGTGGGAGATTCTCATAGCACGTGAGGATCTCTTGAGGGTAAGGTGCCTGTATTATCTCGGTGGACAAAATGTATGTTTTTATTTTATAAGGACAATAACGTACTGTTGTGTTTGTTTAGTTTAATATTAATTGTTTAATGCTCACAGTCACAGCAACATGTTTTTAGTGTGATTGGCTATTTGTTTTATATGATTTATCAACGTGATCATCAAGAGTTAATCTGAGCACCAGAACCCAGCTCACGAGTCCTTTTATGCTGTCCATTGAAATGCAGGTATGCGAGTTTTATACACCAGTTTATTTATGTTTAATGTTTCACATTGCTCCACATGATGCCTTGACTACAAAGTATTCCATGTTTCTACGCTTCTTCCTCTGCGTCACAGTTTCGGGAATATCAAGATCATTGCACAGGGCCTTGGTCTTGTCATAGACCTCATGTGCTTTCTCGTTACTTCGGTAACTTTTCAGTGTGTTCTCAACTGCTGTTTTGTAATCCACTGCCTGCACCAAGTCAATTGTTTCTTTCTGCAGGTATTTGTGCAGGCCCTGAGTGGTTGAGAGCAGTGTCTGGAACATGACAGCATGTAAATGGTACTGCATTTTCAAAGCTTGCTTTCCAGTCCCTTTACTAGAGGGGCTGAAAGGCTCCCTAAAGTCTTGATCAAAGCAGGGAGGTTTTTGACATGCCCAGCGAACAAGTTGTTTGTCCCCTACCTCTAGCTGTTTCTGAAATGTTTGCAATCTCTGATGGTGGACAAGAGATGTGGAGAAGAAAGAGTAGAGACACTCCAGGAGACCAACGCAGGTATGTGAGTTTTGTACACCAGTTTGTATAAGTTTAATGTTTCACATTGCTTGTGAAAAATATACTTTTGTTGTTGACTGGACACTTATTTTGTAAAAGAGATAGCATGAGAGGATCTCTTAAGCAATGCAGCTCACGTGTCCTTTTTATATGCTGTCCATTGAAATGCAGGAAAGTAATCAGCTCTGAGTGATCTGTTGACGAGGGGACACTACACCGGAGTTACATAAGCAGAGATAGTGCTATTTTGGGGGGAACTCACCTCCTCTGGGGTCCCCCAGGAAGACTTTTTTTAAATACTGAAGTTAAAAGCATCAATCTTGTGCACTTTGAGAGCAACATTAAGAGATATGGATACATCTCTCAACACCCATCAAAAAGAAATCAAAGAATCAGAAACGGGTTTATTATTTAAAAACACTTCATTTTCCAATTAAATCATAAACTATGTCAAATTATTAGAAGTTGTTAGTAATCAGATTAAACAGAAAAAAGGGATGGAAGGAGGAAATAATAATCCCTCATCTCTTGCTGTTTGCAGTTGAAATGATCTCTTTTGCTGGCCAAACATGCTGGATGGAAAGCAGTGATGTCTCACTTGCCTTGGCCCTATATCTGCAGTCCCTAAATCAGTCATGTTACTCATTGACTCTTGTCTGTTCTGGTGTTCCTGTTCATTGTTGTCTCCATTGTCGTTCTTGTCTGTTGCATCTCCTTCTTGTGTGTCCCTTTCTCCTGTTCTCCTTTCTTCATCCTCTACTCTGTTTGGCTCATCTGTGATGACTGTGTAGGTAAACACAAACAAGTATGTAAGTCAATCAGTTTCCAACTCTGTCAAATAAATGAATTTCAAGATACACAAATTTGTCTTCATTAAAATGAGTGTCACCACACTGTCACAAAATGTAATACTAACCAATTGAAAATAGTTAAATTTACATCTCTTGTAGATATCACTGTTAGAGTAGTTATCTGCCAATAGGACAGAATCATTCCTATACAAATGCAGTTTGAGTAATTCACTTAATATATTTACTTAAAACTTTAATATAGTCATTTTCACTTAATACTCTAATATAGTCATATTTCTGCATTCAACACTAAGGAAAGCTGTACAATTTGACATGATAATGAGGAAAAAAGGCCTCCGACAATGCAGATCATTTTTTGATCATATCAATTTTAAGATGCGGGTCAAGGCTTAATATTTGGGAGCATAGTGTCCCTTGCTCCCTTTCAGGAGCCCCACTGGATTAGCTTTGATCTGAAATATTTGTATAAAAAGCTTGTTAGCTGGCTGTCCATCTCATAATGTTCACATAGAAACTAGCTGTCAATAGGAAATATAAATCAGAAGAATTATATTTTCATGCAAAATCTGTCACAAAAAGAGGTTGCACATTTAAATGCAGGTGTTGTTATGGCAACGTCAGTGGCCAGACAGCCACATTTACTGCTGCAAATACGTTCAAACATGCTGTCGACACGTAAAGCAGTGGCATGCCACCATTTCAGCTGACCTTTTCTCAGAAATACTGTCACATAACATCCATATATATATTTCAGTGCTAGGTTGATGCTTAGCTAAGCTAACTATGAAACACTTTAACTGACAGGACTCAGGAATCAGGATCAACTGTGTACTACTGTAAGGCAGCTTCTAGCTTCATGTCGAACACAGACAGTAAGTCAACATTTCCCAGACAGCTTTCTTTGAAATCACCAAGTAACGCTAAAAAACACAACATTTAGATTGTATGACAAAGTGTTTATTTAATATATCTGGCTAGCTATAGCTACTTGCTAACGGTTTAGCTTACCCGCGCGATTCAAAGTAACGTCAACGTAGCTATAATGTATGCTTTGCTTACATGTTCGCATAACTTGTAAGTTTACTGACAGGTACATACCTTGTTCATCTGGCTCAGGTGGTGGCTCTGGGGTTGTTGTGTGAGCCACCACTTGAGAATTGCCGTCTTTTTTATTAAAGAAATGTCTAATGTCCATCTTCAGAATCTCCGCGTCCGGGGCTGACAGTTTAAAGTTTAAACATTGTTACAGAGGAGAGGTACGTACCTGTCAGCCAATAAAACACGTTTATTTCCATGCAACTCTCTGATTGGTCCGGTGGCGTCGTCTTTGCCTCTGTGTTGCATTCACTGAACATGGGAAATTACATTTCTGCCGTCCGTCCTATAGGTAAAGTAGGTTAATGTATTATATTATTGAGGGAGAATTTGTCCGGGGCTAAAGAAAAAACATCCGGGGCTAAAGCCCCGGATGCCTACCCCAGGCGACGCCCCTGCCTCCACCCCTTGAAAGTTATCGCTGACTCAGCCATGTTTATGTAGCACTGCACGTGGAGATGTGGATGCGCAGATTACGTACATATAAAGCTACAAAGTACTGATATAGTCAATTAAAAAATAATTATTTTGTGTAGTTGTATATTGCAATAATAAGGTATGGTTGTCACAAAATCCCACGGCACACCCGGACTTGCCTCACGGCACACCGTTTGGGAACCACTGCTCTAACGCATTACTTTTTAAATTCAGTAACTCAGTTACCGTTACTACATGGTGCGTTACTCCGTTAGTTTTTTTAATATAGTCAACAGCCAGGCGAACAGAGATGAGAACTGTACTTAAGTACAGTACTTGAGTAAATGTACTTAGATACTTCCTGTGTCACATGCGGAGACGGGCAGTGGGCGTGTTTGTGTTGTTTACTAACAAGACTATCATGGCGGCGGCGGAGCTCAAGTCTAGTTTCTCCACCTGGAGATATTCTCACTATTTCACTTTTGTCGAGCACAAAGAAAATAACGTTTTAGTTAAATGTAAGTTGTGTCTTGGCGGGTCAAATATCTTATCTACTGCCCAAACCAGTAATTCAAATCTCTTAAAACATCTGCAAAAACAACATGCTGGGACGAAGCTAGTAGCCTAGCTAAGACCACAGAGACTCAGCCGACGCCACTCCACCTCCACCTAAGCAACAGCGGCTGGATTTTAACCAAGGGACTGCTAGCCAGGGAAAAGTCGATAAAGCCATTGCACGGTATGTTGTAGAACACATGCAGGCTATTGCTACAGTGGAGTCACCCGCTTTCAGGGAGCTAGTTAGCATGATACCATGTCCGGGCGGCACACGGCATATGGGACGGAAAACTTTTTCCAACTACCGGGAGAAAGAATATACAAAAATGGAAAGCCAGCTAATATCGATGCAATCCAGATTGCATATAATGCATGTCAAGTTGATCAACAGATTGTATTATTCTCCAATGCAATAACAGTACTGAAATGAAGGCTATTAGGGCGTTAATGGGAGCCCTTTTTCTAAGTAAAGAAAACGTTACTTTTCACAGTAACGCATTACTTGTTTGTGTAAGTAACTAGTAAAGTAACTGAGTTACTTTTGAAATGAAGTAACTAGTAATGGTAACTAGTTACTGGTTTTCAGTAACTAGCACAACACTGTCAATAACCAATATGTATATGCAGCTCATGGTGGCTATTGTGCAATAACAACCATTGTGTGATGAACAAATTCACTAAAACGTGCTAATTTCCTTGTCAGACATATAAATTATGTGAGGTTTAATTAATCAGTTAACGTGATTTTGCCTCTTACCGGGTGATTCAACCAGGTAGCAGAAGATATCAGGGAATGAAACTTCAACTTCAGTCGGATCATTCGTCCACTCTTTAATAAGATATGGACAAGAATCCGATCCTATTAAATTAATTTTTTTTAAGGTATCTATCCCTGTCAATGGGC